CTTTAATTTTTAATGTGTGTATGTGGGTGTAAAACCCCATAACAATGCCTGTAGCCTTTAGAAAAGAAAAAGAGCGAAACTTCTTTAGTATTCCGGGTAGGTGTCCATTGCCTTTTTTTTCCACTCTCATTTAAAATTTCCATTACTTATTAGTGTTTCCCCTAAACGACTAGAATTTAATGAAAAATTAGAGACAATTTTTCCCCCCTCTACGGCTCCTTTGCCGCTGTTCTGCCTCTTGGTCAAAAGCTTGTTTTGTAGAGGAAGGATCACAGGCTGAGGATGAAGGACAGCTCTTCTGCTTGGTGGCCAAGTGATGCTGAGCAGCAGGTACTAAGCGTGAAAGCCTTCACAAAGTCTTTCCGAAGGTTGTGAGATGTAAAGACACGGTTTGACAGTTGCTAGTTACTATGTTCCCAGGCTTGAGGACTTGACCTGGGCTCCTACAAGGCCTTGCTGCTACATTCTCCCTAACTCTAGGCCTTGGCCCCAGGACCCTGCTCTCTTGTCAGCTGGAAACTTAAAGATTTGACCTTCAGACCCCCAACCCAGGGCCCTCAGGGTGAGTTGATCTTTCTTGCAGCTACGTGTATTGGTAGCTACTTTACTATACACATCACCTAGAGGTGACTTGCTTGCTTGCCTGAGAACTCCTTGAGGGCTAAGATTTCTATCGTTTTTCTTCATTGAATTCCTGAAGACAGTGTTTGGCACCTGCTAGCTACTTAAAATTTTTTTCTCCTTCCTTCCTTCCTTCCTTCCTTCCATCCTTCCTTCCTTCTTCCTCCTCTCCTCCTCCTTTCTTTTCTCCTCTTCCTCCTTCTTCATAATAGGAAAAGAACAAAATATGAGATTCTGACACAATCTAAACCTCATTTTAGATAAAACTTTTTTTTCTAAATTTCCCCCATCCAACCTTTTTTTTTTCCTGGCAGGACACCCAAATTGGGATACATAATGTTTATTTCATTTATTTTTGCACCAAAAAAACCCTAGAAGAATAGGGCATGACAGAATGTATTGCTGGTCAATGACCTGTGCATATACAATGACTGGCTGACTGCACACATAACTGATAGAGTCTAACAGGGAAGGAAAATTGGTGTGGAAGAGAACAACGTTGGCTGTGAATCTGACTTGTGAGTCTGGCAGGCCTGGTTTTGAATCTGACCGGGTCACTAGCAAGGTAACCATGGTTATGCTACTTGATCTCCGAGTCTTAAGAATTTGGCCAGTTTTCTCTCTTGTTCTAGTTTGAGCTCCTCACTCTTCAAGATATCTGCTCCACCCTTCTTTCCCTCACTCTAGGACAGTGACTGTTCTTTCCTGTTATAGAAATAGAGTAGAAAATGCTAGATGGAACTGCTCATGGAGGAAGAAAGTCCATACACACACACACACACACTCCTACAGGTTTTATTATACATATTACCATTGATACAAATAGGGAAAAACACATGGGAAAGTTCGGAGAATTTCCATGCCTTCACCGGTGCCCCATCAACTTATATATTAACTATGCCATCTGGGATGTTTTTAAGGGTAAAGTCCACATTGATTGAATGGCCAGGGAGGCATTGCCCACTGATGTCCAGCCTCTCACCTGGCCTGCTTGCTCCTCCCAATGCTATAGGGCTTGGTGCTGATCTCTGTGTGTGCTAAACTCCCATTCACTTGCCCCCCAAGGGGGGGGGCTTTGTTTCTCTTTACTCCTTTTAGAATTTCTATTTATGATTTAAAGATGGAATTTAAGTTGGAAAGTCATAAAGATGATAATACATACCTTCCTCCTCTCTGCATTCTTCCCAGGTAAAGAAATGCCTTGTTGGGATAGAAAGGTGGGCTCAGTGGAAGAGCACTTGCCTCGCATGTATGAGGCCCTGGGTTTGATTCCTCAGCACCATACAAACAGAAAAAGCCAGAAGTGGTGCTGTGGCTCAAGTGGTAGAGTGCTAGCCTTGAGATGAAGAGCTGAGGGACAGTGCCCAGGCCCAGAGTTCAAGCCCCATGTCTGACCCTCCCCCCAAAAAAAAAGAAAAGAAAAAGAAATGACTTGTTTTTGCATGTGCAGTCCAATATATAACAAGCATTTAGTATTTTTTTCCCTAATAGGACTTAGGGACTTTTGAGTAAACAAATGCTTTGTCTGAACTACCTAAAAGCTAAATTATGGTTTTTTTTTTGTCTGTTTCACAGAATGCTGATTTCATCTTGTAGTGAAAAAAGTATTTTTACTTAGGATGTGGAAAAAGACAATTTTTAAAAATTGGAGTTGGACCTGACTTATGTAACTGTAACCCCTCTGTACATCATCTTTATAATAGTAATAAAAAATACAATGAAAACCTAAATTGTTCAGCACCTCAAAAAATGGAGTTGGGAGTTTTTACTGGAGAAGTTTAAGGAAAAAAAATGATGTCTTGAGCGTTTCTCCTCCTCTTTTTTGTCAGTACTGAAGACTGAACTCAAAGCCATGAGCTTGCTAGGTGGGCACTCTACCACTTGAGGCATGCCTCCAACTCCTTTTTACATTGGTTATTTTCAAGGTAGGGTCTTGCTTTGTGTCTGGGTCCACCTAGGCTGTAATTCTGTAGCTTGGGCATCTCTATTAGAGAGAAGAGGAAAACACCAGTCCTTGTGGTTCCCTCTTCGCTGGGTCAACTGGTGCTTGCATTGTGCCAGCCATTTGCTCTTGCGAATTTCTTTTTGCCTAGGTTTCCTTTGAACCGCAGTCTTGAGATCTCTACCTCCAAAGCAGCCAGGACTACAGGCTTGAGCCAATCAGCCCAGCACTTTTCCCTTCTTTTCATCTCCAAACCTTCTCTCTCTGTGTCTCTCTCTGTCTCTGTCTCTCTTTCTCTCTCATTTGCCTAGACATCCACCACTCCTTAAGATTGTATTCCTTCAGTTTTGACATTTGGGGAATGCTGGGAGGTGATGGTCTTTTTATTTAGCACATTTTCTTAGCCCTTGCCTCCTTGCATATCCAGGGTGGGGAACAGTGACTCAGAGCCGCTCCTGCTAACTGGAAGGAATTGGGTGTTGCTGAGTACAAAGCCAGGAACTTGACCTAGGCTGAGGAATGGGATCTGAGCAGCTGTCTCTCTCAAAATAGGGCTTGCAGCCAACTCTCAGGGAGTCTGGCGACTGGGGGAGAATTCTTCTGCTTCAACAACAGGCAGTCTGTTCTATTTCTTCCTGCCCCGGTTCTTCACCTGCTGAGTTTCACTGTATCCTTCAGCTCCGTGTAACTCTACCTCACCAATTTTCATGATTTGCTGCAGACTTCAAAACCCCAGGCTCTACTATTTCTACCTCTGGAGATGCATTTATCTGCAAAGTTGAAAGATTAAGTTTCCTTTATTTATTCTTCTAGGTTTCTAGAGTTGACCTCCTTCTCACTATATACCAGAAACGTACAATGTATTCAGCATGTGTTCTCCCCCCTCCCCTGCCTCTGTCAAGATGTTTGCACTTAGGGCCTTGTACTGGAAGAATGTTCTAGAGGCGTTGTACCACCTGAGCCATACTAGATCTGCTTTTTGATAGTTTTGAGATAGGGTTTCACAAACTTTTCTACTGAGGCTAGCCTTGAACCATTAGCCTTCATCCAAGGCATGGTTACAGCATGAGCCACAGATACCCAGCTAATCTTTCTCTCTCTCTCTTTCTCTTTCTTTCTGGCACTGCTGGCAACTAAACTTAAGGTTGCTAGGCAGGTGTTCTACCTTGAACTATACCTCCAGCCCAGAAAGATGATCTTACCATTATTTTAAAGGCTCCTTGAACATTCTAGTGTTCTGAATTTAGGTTGCACAGAGAGTCCTAGAAACTGACAAATGGGCCACTCTTTTTTTCAGAAACACTCATCGCAACATGTTCATTCTAGCACTTAGCAACTTCCATTTGAGGCAGCTCCTGGGCTTCTAACAGAACTGGTCTCTGCTGGTGTCAACCTGGTTTTGCTGCATGATCACATCATCTTTCTTTTATGTCCTTCATTTTCAATTCCTATTCGTCATCTCTTTTGGTGGAATTTGTTTCTTTAAACTTTCTTTTGTGTGTGTGTGGTGGGGGGGGAGTGGAGACTGAATCCAGGACCTTATATATCCTAGACATGTGCTTTATTACTGTACTACATCCCCAGCCTGAGGTTTTATTCTTCTCCTCAGCCTGCTCCTTGCTCTGCCTCCTGGCACCTTCTCTGTTCCAGGGTTCAGTTGAGGTACTGGATGAATCACTAAAGAGGTTCTAGCCGGCTAATCCAGGGGTCAGGGCCGGTCACCCTTCCCCTCCTCCTGTCCCGTCACTGCTGGGGCTCTGACCCAGGCCTCTTCCCAGACGCCCCTTTTCTTACTTAAATCCCTCGACCTTTTTGACCTCACAAATAGAAGGCTGCCCTCGACATGGCAGATGACATCCGAGGCCCAGGAGAGGTGAAGGATACGGAAACCCTCTGCTTGTCCATGCCCGCAGATATTTTGTGGAAAGAGAGTCAGGAAGGTTCTGGCTTTAACCGCCTGCTGCCTGTTCCCTGCACATCGCCAAACCCGGAGCATTCGCGGTGGACAGCGTTTCGGGAAATGCTTGGATGGAGGGGAGGCGCAGGCGGGCAGGGCGCGCCGAAAACTCCTCCAGAGAAGGTGTCCCAGCCCGGCGCTGGGCGCTGGTCTGATCAGCTGGGCCTCCGGGAAATCCACCTACCCCGGGGCGAGCGGAGGCTCACGCTCGGGTTTTAGAGGGTTGCGGGGATTGGGTGGAGGGGGCCGGGGGCGCCCACATTCGCTTTCCAAACCCGGCCTACGGCGGGCGGCGGGGGCCGGCGCCGCCTCCCCGGGCCGGGCCGGCGGGAGCCGCTGTGGAGAGGGCCGGAGTTTGGGACCTTTGTGCAGACCTGCGGGGAGGGTGGAGGCGGGAGGGTGGGAGGGGCGGGGGGGGGGGGGGAGGGCGCCGAGCCCGGGCAGCCCCACCTTTCATTCCAGCCGGGAACGCGGGCCGCGGGTGTGAGTCACAGGCTCGTGCTCCGGGCCCCTCGGTGAGCGACCCGACCGGTCCCCGGGAAGAGGGGTCTGCGCCCCCGCTGCCCCGGCCCGGCCTTGGCGGGGTGCTGGAGCTCCGGTCCGCCCGGTCTGGCTCCGGAGCCAGGGCTGGGTTTCCCTCATGTATGGCCCGGGCCCGACGCGTGCGGCGCTGCTCCTCCTGGGCGTGCGGCTCTCAGGTAAGCGCAGGTGGGCGCCCGGCCCGGCCCCGCGCC